ATTCCTGCTAATTGGTATCTTCTTGCTCCACATTTAACAACTCCTGTAACTATCAGAAAAAATGGTGCTTTAAACCATAGGTATGAAACTGCTTTCAAGTGAATTTCCTGAATCCTAATGAGGCATCTTACTTTGGTCTGGAGAATTCCACTGTCTTACAGAGCTAGAGAAACTCTACGCTGAAATGCAGGTAATGTTGGGCAAAACATATATTCTGCAATCATTTCTATCTTTAAATGCAAAATGTTATTTTTAAAGAACACATTCAAAAGTGTACCATCAAATGAGTACACGAGTAGAAAACCCAAGTATATGGTTAAGCTTCTCACTGGAAGGGTCACACACAGGCTTTTGGGTTTGATAAGTTACTCAAAAAAGAGATATACAACTGGAGAAGAAGGAATATGGAAAGAACATAAGCAAAACAGTTTTTCTAGGGTTGCTACGATTCAAAAAAAAAACTAGAACACAAGCAAAGAAACCTCCCCAAAATAACTGTAGCATTCACAATGAGACAAGTAGTGACAAGCAGAGCCAGAGGTGAAAGCTACTTGTCGTAGAGGTATCTAACAGAAGAAAAAAATACTAAATAAACATCTTAAATCAGAATTTCAATAATTTTCTACCAACAGAAAAAGTAATACAAATCGAGCTCTCAGATTGCCGTTTTAGAAAGTGCCTGCACATCACAACACTGAGCAATTCACGGCAGCGTTCCTCGCCCTCCATAAATCCCCGCTGACAGAACCCAACGCTTGTGCCGCAGCCATTTGTAACGTCCAGGAAATAGAAGCCCTGGATCGGCCTGGTGTCACGTTTGCTCACTCTCCAGCAACAAACACAGGCACAGGACTAGTGCACAGCATCTCATTTTCACGGGGTTTTATTTCATGGATAAAAATCAATAGTAACCAGGAACACTGAAGTCACTGGTCATTAACCCTTGGCACTATAAAACACATTTGGGCTTTAAATACGATCATCAGAGCCAGCGAGCTGTAAATGCAGAAGAGCACAGCAGCCATAAAAACGGAGATTTGTTTGCATGAACCATTAGATACAGGGCAATGTTGCGTATATATTTATTTACAAAACAGCCACCACGCTTATCTACAATGTAAAATTATTTTGCAGCAAACGCAGGCACTAGTCAAAACTTGCCCCTTTCGTTTAGGATTTATTATTTGACAGCAAATGTATTGACACGGTACTTTTACACACACATATTTCCCCTGAGATATTTTACTCACAAATGTGCAGATGTACATGTAATATCAGCTCATCCCAACTTATTCTTGCTTGGGTTCCTGAGCTCCTACCAGATAACCCCAGAGCCTAGAGAGCTACTTCAGCGCTGGACGCCACGTAGCACCACGCAGTCAGCTCCCTCATTTTCAGCGAAAATCCAAACAGATTGGAGGAGGTGCGCTGAACTTGACGCTTTGAACTTCGCACAAAAAACGCTGCCATAAATATGGTTTTATAAAAAAATGTTTTCACACTTCGGAAATGAAAACTGCACATTAGGAACTTAACTCTTGAGGACTGTCGCCGATACAAACAGCTTTTCCTCATCAGCCTACACTGCCTGTTCCTACTTCACAACTACTGCACTAGGAAATCACAAGATGTTTTAAGTTTTATAAAATTTGACCAAAAGCTATTAGAAAGAAACTACTACCCTGGCAATTCTGTTTTTCACAAACAATAAAAATACGGAGAACACAAGAATAGCTGTACTGCTCCAACTCTCTACTCGTAGCTTCTTTAATCACCGAGAAGTTAATTTAGTTTCTCTCTGCTAAATCAATCAGTACTGCTGCTACCACCAGGGAAACCAGGTTCCAGGGTGATTCTTCCACAATGGGAGTTTAAACTTCATCATTACTTTGATCAAGTGCCTGAATTTACTAAGAAATACATTGAGATTACTAATTCAGTTTATGTTGTTTCTCCCTCAGACTGCAATATCAACATCACTGAGTATGGAAACAAATAATCTATCTTCCAAACAAATCCCACCTTAGCTCCTTCTAGCAAAAATTCAGTTGCACTCAAAACTGCTGTAAGAGGATACACGGGTTTACTAGAACTTTGGTGAGAAGACTAAAAATAGAATCATAGAATGGTTTGGGTTGGAAGGGACCTTAAAGATCATCTTGTTCCAACCCCGCTGGCATGGGTAGGGACGTTGGTTTTTTGTAGATGTAGAACACTCAGCACTATTCTTCTTTAGACATCAGCAATGTACTGGAATGTTAAGAAGACAGCAAATGAAAACGGGATTACTCTGAGAAAATCTTTAACTAATACAATTTCAAAAATCTTTGCTTAAGGTAGCTTTTGGATTTGATGAGACGGCAGAAAACATTTTGTGAAAAGAAAGAAAAAAGCAAACAACCAACCATTTCATTCAGACTTGCTTACTCCAGTCTAAAGAGTCTGCTTAATGGAGCAGAGAGAGAAGCAAAGATCAAGGCTTTACCCACCTAACAGCTCCCGGGGCGGAACGGCTCTGTTGGCTCCATTGCATGGAATGTTTGGGTATGGGGCAGATGAGGAGGAGTTTACCCACATCTCGGGTGATGAATAGTTGAAAGATGACTGGTTATTGTGGTCCTGAAGCTCTTTACACTGACCAAGACTGTCTTGAGGAGTGCTTAATTCTTCAGAACAAGCCTGGACTGAACTAGAGGAAATTCTTCTTTGGTACAACGGCCTGCCTGGTCCTCTTGGTTCATACTGTGAACAAAAACACAAAACAAAAAAAAAAGGCCTTTTGCTCTTTTTATTCAACTGTATGTATCAAATACCATTTTTCCAGCCATTTTTTTTCCTTGCAATGTCTTAAAAAAAAAACCAAAACAAACAAGAAGAAATAAAATCCTTTGCATTTAGGAAAAAAAAAAATCTAATACATTTCATATTGCAGTCACTGGTAGCATATTGTCATCACACAAAATAGGCACAGAACTTTAAAGGAAGTGCCAAGTGTGTCAACTTAGGATTCCTTAATTCTTACCAAACTTTACATCTCACATGCCTAAGAGCGAGATGTCTCACACTGTGAGGAGGAAGATACTCAGCACTTACAGATGAAGTAAAGGAAGCACAGAAACACAGAAAAACACGATGCAAAATGTACACACAAAACAAATGCTCTGGAGAAGCGTGTGCCCTCGGGAGAGATAACGCAGAGAATTTTATCTGAAACCACAGAAATTACTTGCTTCCATAAACCCTGTAGATCATGTCGATGAAAACAGCAGGAGCTCCATTAATTAACCTGTTGGCTTCAAGAGTTCAGATTTAAGGAATCTCTAAACTTTCTAAAGATTCAAAGCACATCTGTTGTATTACAGTTTATTTTTTAAAAATAAACAAAGTATTTGCTCCCTTCTGCACTGCACTGACTAACAAACACAAATAACAGAAAAGTCACAGAAGTAAACCTATACCTGTAAAGGGAAAAAGTAAACACCTTAATGAAATGTCATCCAAAATTAGTCAAATAGATATCAAATAACCTGCCTGCAATGTTCCTATATTATTATTATACCTCCACAAAAACTAGGCAGGGAAAAAAAAAGAGTGCATGAAAGTAAACTGTAATATCTCATTATAGCCACCCCACTCTTATGATATATCAAGGGAAGAGCACTTAGTTACTTTGTCATTCTACTCTCTTGAGGGTATTCTTCAAAAACAAAAAGAATAAAATTCAGAAGCTGCTGCCTGAATTACACCCAAAGAGTATACTTTTTTTATTGAGTTTAACGGGCAATTTTGGTAAGCAATCAGGAAGATATCAAAGTTCTGGACACTTGCAAGTACAAGACCAGACAGAATAACTCAAGTATTCCCTTTGATGTGCAGTTCAAATCTGGTTTGACTAAACACATGCAAAAGCTTTCAAGTACCAAGTCAGTGAACAGTTTTATAAATAGTGATTGAAAAAAGTTTCGTAAGGATCCAAAAGCCATGACATCTCCCCTGATACCTGCCTTATATGAGGGATCTCGGTTAAAAATACATCTAAAACTGCGTTTTGATTTCTTTGTCTATTCTGTCCTACCTACCAGCTGAACTAGTAGTCCTGGAAACTCATGAGCAAGTCTCTGTCTTGTAATACTTTTACTGCATTTGGCACTTCTGTCACATGTTTTGAAAGGAAGAAGAAATAAGAACTAAAATGAATTTGCACTAATTACATAAAGGCTCACTCTATTTGTCTTCAGATAGCAGAAGCTGTCACAAACCCTACAGGAATATTTATCAGTTTATTACTGCTGAAAAGTTGTTGTTCCTATGTCCCACTGTACTGACAGCATTAACTGTTGTCACAAAGTATTAGATTTTATACAAGGTGGTGTGGCTCAATGGGCCAACACACAGAATTCCTAAATACTTCTAAAACCAAACCTTATGACTGCATCCCATAACAGACCCCCTTAGAGTCAAGAAAAAAAAAGTAAAGATCAAGGGGGAGAGAGCCAGCTCTGGTGTGGCGGCATTTGTGCTGGAGCCAGATTCATGCAGCACAGTTGGAGCCCTCTGCACCAGCGCTCCGCTCCCCCAAAATAAGCAGGATGGCTTTGCACAGGTTTAGCTCAGGTTAGATGGGATTTGTTAAATCAGGTTTTGTACCATGTTGAAACAACTGTACCGCTCTGGTCTAAAGCTCATATGAAAACTCACTCAACCGTATTCACGGTTTGTTGCTGAGCCAACCGGCTGGCTTATCCAAGCCGACTTTCCAGAGAGTCGTGTCACGAGTTTTCACCCAAGGTGTGCTTAATTTGCACTCCAGACAAATGACACACAGATAAGAGAGCAATCACTGCAGGAAATCTCTGAATAACATTCAAAAAGCCCAGTCAAGACCCCCCGGTTAGTAGAGAAGATGTTATACCTGCAGAGATGAGAACCCACAACTACACACAGGGTAAACACAGAAGACGCAGACAAAATTTTTACCTCACAGAAATTCCCAGTGCGAGCTTGTAACACGTGAGGGATTTTGCATTCATGACCGCTTCAAAATATAATTTGAGACTAAAATGACACGACAACAGCATACTCGGACAACAACGCCTACCTCTTCTAAGCTGTGGAGCGAAGAAGCAGATACTGCTCGAGATGCGAGTGGATGAAATGGCTCCTGACCAACTGCATGCTGATGATTCTGGATTTGTATAAAAGGGTTTTGTTGCGACCTATGGGGCACTGGAGGTATACCGTAATGAAAGCCCTGCCCCATGAGGTGATTCTGCTGTAGGTTAGCGTAAGTCCACGATCCGTCGGGTTGCAGGTATTTCAAGGGAGATGGGGTTATGTGTTCAGATGGCATTGAGAAAGGGGGATTATATATTTGGGGTAAATGTTGCTGAAATGCTGGGTTACTGGGTATTTCAATGTCTCTGTTGTTTTCGGTGAAGGTAGGGAAGTGACCGCTGTGGTTAGAGTTGCAGGAAGGAGAAGGGAGTGCTGGTGGGCTTCTGGGCTGAACTTGTCTGTATTGCAACAGTCTTGACTGAGGGGGCGGCATTTCGGCTAAGTCCCGACTTTCACTTTGATCACGGTGTGACAGTTCTCGGAGCAAATCCTGGAATCTGTATTGACAGAATAAACGTATCAAGAAAAAGACAAAAATGTTTCACTGAAATCCCACTCTTTTTGAGGTGAAGAAAACTCAAAGCACAAACCACTGAATTTAAATATACTCATCTTGGCGCTTACTGACCCTAACTTCAAAGGATATGACTGTGAGCAGGCAGAAATTAGGCACAAGAGGATTAATTGGATGAAATACCTACCTGAACCATCTCAAAGTTTTAATAACTCTTGAGATTTCCTTTTCAGTCAGAAGAATCAATTTTTTGTTACCTCTTAAGAGACAACTAAGATAAGGATTTCCTGCTTTTTTATACAAAGTAAAGAACTTAACATAAGTAAAGAAAATTTTAACCCCTTAAAAGGCAAAAACCGGAACTATCAGGAGTTCTCACTTGCACAAACTTCTTCAAAAGGTCAAGAATATTCAACTCAGCACTTCAGAGAGTCAGGTAAGAGAGCATTTAGATGCTTTACTACAGCTATAACAAATCAGATGGAAAATAAAGCATAGTGGGAGATGACAGTAAACAGAGGCAATTTAAAAATCCAGCCTTGACAATTTGCATGATTAAAGCTGATGATCACTGGAACCATTTTTCTGTTTATGCTCAACAGCTTCCTTTCTTGCCTGCTAATGCTCCCTCTTAAATATAAGTATTTTTCTTTAATCTGCTTTTAAAAGTGAAGGCTTTTTTAAAAGTTAAAGTTTTACTGGGGAGCAGTGCTTGGGGAGGGGTTGGTTTGCTTCTTTTTAAGCGTATAAATCTGAGACCGCTAACTCAATTTGAAGAATTTACAACTTAAATAGGCCTTAACTACACTCAGCCACTTCTTTCATAAACACAAGGTTTTTACTCTCTATCCATTCCTTATTCCATAAATACAGCACTGAAAAGCTAAATAAAAGCACGTTTTCCACTACAACTTTACTACTCAATGTACTAACAGAATAAAGCATAACACATAACAAAAGCATAGTTGTAAGTCAGCCTGCCAACTATTTTAACCTTCATAATAACAGCAGCGCAAAGCAATACCTTCCAGTGTCTTGCACTTGACCACAGTGTTACAGAGAGGTGCCCACTGCTCAATTTTACACAAGCTCTGATGACTCAGTAAACAAATACCTTGAATATGTTGCCTCTGTTTCATCTTCTGTATTACTGGCAAGTTTCCAGTTTGCCCTAACTTGCTGCTGTTGATGCAATCCAATTGGTTGCTGAGGAAGATGTGGTAGATGAGGATGGTGATGGTGTTGATATGGAATAGTGCCTTGACTGAGATAGGCATTATGTTCATTCCATTGCTGTAACCTGGCTTGTTGTTGCTGCCTTATTGTTTCCAAAGCTACATTTCCATGCATACGATCTATAAAAATAGTTTTAAAAAAAAATTTTATCTAATGCCCCTTCTTAGAAGATCTTTACGTCAGAAAAAAATATGAATACTTTTTATACAGTATATCCCAGGGCCTAGTATATACTAACCGCATTGCAGTGTATAACCTGGTTATTTAAATCATATGGAAAATCATATAAACATGAATCTTCTAATAAAGTGCTGAATATTCAAACATGCCTCAAGCAGCAAATTATGCTCAATGACATTACTTATGGAAACTAACCCAACAATGACCCAATTCAGAGCAATATGCCTGAACAGGTAAATACCTCCTTCATTTTCACTTCAATGTAGTTATAATTGCACACTCTGAATTGAAATTCAAAGAAAAGTCACCTACCTAAAGTTTTTCCTGACGGGTTCTCTTCAATGAAGTTGTTCAAGTGGGTTGGCAGAACGGGGTTGTGCTGTGCAATAGGCCTCAGAGGATTACTGACTTCTTGTAACATAGGTGGGGGGTGTTGCTCTGAAATCACAGCATCTACAGCAGGAGAATGCGGTCGGTGGGGAATTGGATTATTAAAAAAAGATTGGCTGGGGCCTGCCTGGTAAGCAGGGGAAAGCTGCGAAGGTTGTGGAGGCTGCTGATTCAAGTGATTATGCTGCTGAACTACCTGGCTTTGCTGGGGCGGCATTTGGTTTTGTTCAGGCAAATGATTTTGTTGCTGACTTAAAAGGTTTTGCTGCTGTTGCAGAGGATATGGCTGCCTTGGTATCTGTGAGAGGTGCTGGAAGTGGCGACTGGGAACTGCATACTGGGAGTGGGGTGGGGTGAGATGCAGATTCAGCTGCCGGGGGTTAAGATTATCTTTGCGATGAAATTTAGCATTAGGATAACCAACATTGGAACGTGACTCTGGGCTTCTGTTCTGAGAATTTGCTTCTAAGTCAACCTAGAAAAAAAGAATGAAAAACTTTGAAAATTCACATAATGAAAAACAAAAAAACAAACCCCCATCACTAATGAATAAATTCATTAAAAGAGAGAATATTAAAAAACAAACCCAAGCAAGCAATAAAACCACAGGTCTAAACAAGACAAACCCACCTGCTTGGATTCTAGAGGTTTCTTCTCAGGTGTTCGAATTTTACTGATTTCAGGTCCAACAGTGTTTTCACTTTTACCTAAAAACATTTAAGAAATTAATCAGTTTCAATGGAAAATTGATTATTTTGGGTTGGTTTTTTTCTGAAACACAGGAAAATGTAGACTTATTAGTTTAGTATTTACAGCATCATAGACATGTCATACAGTTTACAACACTTTTCCCTTAATCTCTGCACTTTGTTCATTAATCACCACTAAGTAGTTTTTCCAACTTAATTGCAAATAACATCAGCAGTAGTTATCACTGGACTGCAAACACAGACAGACCAATCATACCCTCAACAAACACACAGCCCAACTTTGATTGCTTCCTCCTTTAAATCTCACAATATCTTATTATTCTCTTTTGTAATGGAAAATCACAGGTTATTTCCTCAAGTCTGTAAATCTCTTGATGTCACCTGAGAGAAAGAAGAAGAGAGAGGAGAAGAGAGAGGAGAAGAG